ACTGCTCCTCAAAGCACATGGGCTGCAGGGCGCGAGTGCGGCTCATGTCGGGGAAACTCGTCGCCTCCGCGGACGAGCACAATCACGCGCCGCCCTCACACGCTAGATGCGGCAACGGCGCATTCGTCCAACTCCGTCCCAGGGGCTTGTCCAACTTCACAGGACTAGCCTCGGCTATACTCCCCTCCCCTATCACATCCCCAACCGTGGCAGCTCTAGCCCTCCACGCCCTAAACTTCCCTCGAATACTTCCTAAAACAGACCTCTGGTTACGACCTCCTAACCCTGAAGAGAAAAAGGATCCTAAATAGGTTAAGAGAAATATATGAGCAATAAATGATATGACATTAGAGTTGACGTCAACTGCTGCGTGCCACGACTTGGTTGTTATAGTTGTTGGAGATGAGTTTGTTAAAGAACTTTAGTAATATAGAGTTAACGGTAAGGCCTTGGTTCAGGTGGAAAACGTTCTTTATACAAATATATGTATATTACATTTACTACGAATACATTGTCAATTATATAATTATACTTGTATATGTCTGTTTTAACAGTGCAGCTATTTTTCATTTACTTTTTTAGTTTATAATGCTCAAGTAGTATTTTAAGATGATCACGGACGCGGCATGGATCCCACGCCAGATAGTTATTTGTCAAAATGTTATATTTCCTCTCGAACTAAGGCTTTAGATAAAAATGTGATTTTTTATTTTGTCGCGACACGCACCACTTGACTGAGGCGTTTACTTAAGAATAGAGTAGATCGTTATGGAAATCAAATGTTTCTTGAATTTGTTGATCTCTAAAATTTATGTATATTTGAAAAAATAATGTTATAAGCTTCGCTTTCAGTGATAATTCAACGCGATACGTAATTCGGTGATATTTTCTAAGTAATAATTATGAGCCTTATTATTATATCTACGTTAATTCTACTTATAAATGTCTACATGTTAATACTTTAAAGATATTTCGTTTGTATATACAATCCTATTTTTTAAATATAGACTGCTCCTTTATGAATTATATTGTGCTTAATTAAATTATTGCGTTTTTTTACTCATATTTATCCTACGTGTTACGCACACGCTGCTTATGAGGAAGAGTCCCTCTGTGACTTAAAACTAGTAGAGTTTTTCTCTGTATCTCTGTATGTCTCACGAACTATCGTGAGACATAATGAATCAATATTATGTAACTATGTTATTTATTATATAAGGTGTTAATAAAAAAGCTCTGAATATTTTACGAGGTTGATGGGAATCAATAAAGAGACACGTGTAGCAAAAAAAAAATAAATTAACAATTTAAACGAATTTTATTTTGAACAAAAATAAAGGAGTTGTTTAACTTTTTTGTGCAAACCGTACGCGGGGCTGCGCTTGCGGCCTGAGCGAAGCAATGGCGCGCCGTCACCGTCCCCATGTTATCGCAATCTCTCTCTCTTTCTCCCTCTCTCCCGTTCGCTAGTTGCCCCGTTCTCTATCTCACTTCTCTCTCTCTCGATCTCCAGTTGACCGATAGCTGTCGCGCGGGAAGGGTGTGGCCCTCAGTGTCGTTCAGTGTTGTGTCCGATCAATCGCACGCGTCATTTTTTGTTGTTTGTTGTTCAATATTCAATAATGCCGTTTACGTACAGTAACCGCAAGTACCTACTTAGACATGTTAATGTGGTACATTAGAAGTGGCGAAAATGTATCTGCAGCTCGTACTATGTACCAGGAACTGTATGGTGCTCAACGACGAGTACCGGCTTTACAGACAATACGGGGAGCTTACCAGCGTTTACTGGATTATGGTCAGTTTCGTCCTCTCCAAGCAGATGCCGCAGGCCGCGGCTTGCCGGAGATATTGAAGAACGAGTTCTCGACTACTTCCACGAGAATCAACTCGTGAGCACACGCGAAGCTGGTCGTGACTTAGGAATAAGTCACGTTACCGCATGGAACATGCTCCGTTAAGAAGGCCAAGCCGGCCCATTACCACAGAGCAGCTCGCGAGTATTTAGATGTTACCTATCCAAATCACTGAATAGCCCGTGGTGGACCCATTGCATGGCCACCTCGATCCCCGGACCTCATCCCCTTAGATTTCTATCTTTGGGGTCGTGTTAAAGACTTAGTGTACGGCCACAGTGGTAGTGAGATAAAAATCGCGGACGAATTGAAAATATGCATAATAAACGCGTTTGATATTATTAAAAGTGATAGAGACACATTATTGCGAGTGAAAAACAACGTAATACGTCGCGTCGTGGAAACTTATGCATCGAACAAGGTGGAAGACACTTCCAGCATCTTCTATAAATAAGGTAGACTCTTTGTTAATACTTAAGTATCTAGAGTCGGGCATTTATTCCGATGAATACTCGTAAATGATAAATACCTAAGTAACTACCAACTACCTAGTTTTTTTTTTTAAGGGGGGAAAATCATCGAATGACTGCTCCCGCCTGGGTGAGGCGGAAGGGAGTGTCAGACTCTTACTGACTAAAAACCACCCCGTTCCTTCTCCTGCACGTCGAGCCGGAGCCCCGGTTACCCGTTAGGTTCTCCGCGACTCACCAACTACCTAGTACTAGTACTACTAACTACCTAAGTATTGGCTTTTGGTCGAGTATTTACCTATTCAAAAAATTGACATAATTAATCATTGTCGCTATGCTAATTTCATTATAAGCATATCACTTCAGTTAAATAACATAATATAAACAAAGTCGCGTGGTCGTTTATTAAAATGAAACATTATTAAGTTCAATAGTAACATAAGCGCGCGGTACCGCGACACCTACGTCAGCGCGGTCGCGCGGGGTTTCGTCGATGGCCTAGTACGGCGCGCATATTAGGCTATTTACGTGTAACACTAATAGTGGAATAACTTTAGAACGGTAGCTTTTTTTAAATTATTTTTTCATAATTAATTATGGAATAAATGTTTCAACAAAACCTTAGACTTCCTGCAGCTTATTTTATAACACCTTATATATTATAACTATATTATAATAACATTTATCCTTCGAGCAAAGTATAGTAGGCCATATTTTTCTAAACTTCGATATGAAAATCAAAGTTCTACCACTCATTAACAGGTAACTGGATGGATGATTTGTGGGAGTTATCGGCTTAACATAGGAAAGTGAAAACTTAATTAATAGACACACTACACATAGTCATAATGATTGATTGTCTTGTCACGTTAGGTACCTAATTAACTTTTGTTTTCAATAATACCAAACTAAAACTAAAATAATTATGGGTCTTTTGTGAGCTCTATAGCATCTTCGTGTCAATAAAATTCCAAATAAAAATAACAAAAAATTAAAAAAAATGGTAGAAGGGGAATATCCCCATATAAATAGGGGATTGTTAAATTTGCTAATGATAAATATTTATTACTTAAATTTAAAAAGAAACGCTCTATATTACATATCGGTATATGCTACAGGTTGGCGATTCTCAAAAAATCGACTGGGTGGCAAGAATTTGTTCATCGATGGGTACAGCTACAGGAAAGAATACGCTTCAGGGAAAAGATTCTCCTGGAGGTGTTCCAAGAGAGGATGTCCAGCGACTGCTGTCACTATCGACGGGGTTCTATTAAGCACCAAACATAAACACGTTCATGAACCACAAATCCACCAGAAGTAGTAAACTTCACAATTACTTTCGGCTTAAGAGACTGAACCTCTGAGTTTGTTTCAGTGCTTCTTCTCAGAGTAATCAGATAAGAAATGCCGGTCCCATCTAGCTAATATTAGAATATTGACTTGTAATAGGACCATTTTGTAACCTTTTCACAGAAATCAATACCATTTCAATCACCATTCTCAACTATTCATCATCACCAGTTCACTTTCGTTTATTACTGTTTTTATTCTTCTTTACAGTGATTGTGCTTTATTCTTCATTTTACTTATACTAAGTTACGCTGGATTGTGGTTGTATGATTTGTTTGTATTCAATTGTCTACTTTTTTTGTCAAAATCCCTTTTTTTATTTTCCTCCTCAAAATCAATCTACATTATAGGATGAGGTTATCTTGTCAATTTGACTGTTACTATAGTAGACTCACAAGGATACACAGAATATATTTTTATATTAATATAGAAATTAAGAGAATGTTTTAAAATGTATATAATTATATATACATAGTATGCATATTTGATGTTTACAAAGGAAAAAAATATATATTTGTTAAGAACATTGTTAGTTTTGTTTTCTTTTATATCCTTTCTCTTTTCTTTATGTATTTGTGTATATAGGTATTCATAGCTAAACTTATAATAAGCGACGAGGTACTTTCAACGTCAAATTTTTATAACGTATTAATATTTTAGAAACAATCCGATACTACGTGACTGGTCGTGGACAGATCGGTGCTTTATACAACGGTCAAAAGTTCTATAAGAATTACATGGGAACTGATGGTGTGGTATCTTGGATCTGCCATAACAAACACATCTGCAACCGTAGGATCAAAACACTGGGACGCCAGGTTGTTGCTACTTCGAACAAAACGCACTCCATGAGGTGCATCGAGCTGGACCTTGAAGATGTCACTGTCGTTTAAGATGGAAATTATTATTATCATTATATCAGCCATTAGACGCTGCTGAACATAGGCCTTCTCCAGCGGAATAAACTGAAATACGTTATTTATTTACACTAGGTTTGTAAAGTTAGGGGGTTGTTTACAAATTGTGATTGTTGTGCCGCAGATTCGTATTTAAAATCTAACTTTTCATTAATAAAAAAAAATCCAGTATAGTATACGACACTTATATTTTTATTCAGAGTAAATTTTATTTATTGCAATTTTATGTATAAATGTATATGGATAAATTATTTTAATATAATGTAGTGTCGACGTTGAATGAAAGTGTACAATAAAAATAGTAATTGGATATCTTATTTTAAATTTCTATAAAGTCAATTAAATTTTTCGGTGGTTGAGCAGGACGGTTGACATTACATTTATTGTGTCAAATAAATATTTTAGGCATGGTTTCTTTCTTCACGACGTCTCGGCAACAGTTGGGGGCTGAATTTGAAGGTAAGAAGTTTCATAAGAACTATCTTGGAAAGGACGGCGTGATCTCCTGGATCTGCCATTCCAAGACTTGCAACCGGAGGATCAGGACGCAAGGCCCTTACGTTATCGAAGTCTCCGGCACCGAACATTCAAGTGAATGCCTTGGTTTACCTGTAGAACAATTATATGGTGTAAATTAATTAGTAACTTGAATGTTTTTAGCTTATGATCTCATTGTATTTTAACCAACAACTTTTATTTCCCTCGAATATTGACTATATTTGAGAGCATAATTGATTAATGACTGCCAGTCTTGTAAGCCAAAAAGTGCCTAGCACGCCTACTTACGACTACTTACACGACTGACTTTTAAACGTATGTATATGATGCTTTATTTTATACTAATTATGTTCCTTGATTAATTCTTCTATATATAATATGTATATAACACAACAAAAAATGTACAAATTCTAGAAAAACTATTAAAGGTCGTTTGCTTTTTTGACGTGGCGGTCAAAAGATAAATGATTATAATATTGAAAGAAAGAGACTTCGGTTACTTGTGTTATGGCACCTAACGAGTTTGTGTTTAATGAGAATGTTAACATTGTTTTTATTTTGTATTTTTATAGAATTCATTAGTATACTATTGAAGTCAGGTATTTCTTAATTACTTAAAGTATGACTTTATATCACATGCTAGTCTCATTAGTATTACGAAATTTTAATTTACTGTGATTTATTTGTGTGATTGAATAAATTATTGCCTTATAGAAAAATCGACATTGTGTTTGGTCTATAACCTACATACATAATTAGAGGTATAACCTAAAATAATAATAATAAGAACCTAACTTGTTTCAATTTTTAAAGATTATTTTGAAACCATTATTCGTAAGTTTACATATTATATATATAGTTTATATAGGTAATATATATATATAATTATAATAAAACTCTAATACTAATCCTAAAATGTTTCAGTTAAATTTCTAAAGACATCGAAATCAATAATGCTTGTCTACCAAGGTTTGAGATATTCCCGGAATTACCGTAGCCTGTCGGGTAAAGTATCGTACCGATGTAACAAGCTGGGGTGTCATGCTCGCATCACCACATTGCATGACGAAATCATAACAGTCGTGAATAAACATAATCATAGTCCTGATGATACAATCGCGTCGTAATAGATGGAGATTTTTAGAAAAGTACCGTCTTCTATACATATAATATACGTATAATTATATAACTTTAGTATTCCTTGTGACCATGATTATAATATAAATAAATCATTGCAATCTGATTTAAACATGAAGTGAAATACATTTCAATAATAATCTCATGTTTTTATAGATATGAATTGTTGGACATTGTATATTGTATTGTTCTCTAGAAGCCGAAATTAATTACGGACCTCAATCGAAAAAATATTGTTGTCATTAGTTGTATAGATTTTCTATCAAAACAGGGGTCAATCCAGAGATTATGATTTAAAATTAGTTATTAATTTAGGCTGCCGAAGTACTAGTCAATTAGTTGTTAATTATTGATAATATTAAAGTACTTTTAAAACCATGATCTGATAGCTGTAAAAAATTACACGAAATATTTTTTGTTTGTAAATACAATAAATTATATAAATGACTTATTCCGAGTTTGATTACTGTCCTCTTCACTACTATGATCATATTACCTTCTTTAAAACTAAGAATGTGATTAAATGTCATAGTAACTAACGAACTAACGATTTTTGGTAAGCCATAAGTATGCTTGGTATTAGATATTTGTGTAGTTTGAAGTGATATCAAGTTCCAAGATGCCATGATTGCTGTTATGAGTTGTCAAAGATAAGTCTTAATTTATCTAACTTATAGTATTTAGGTCTACATTATTAGTGTACATCTAGCATAGCTGTTGGTGCTCTGCACGAGGCCTTACGCTTTGATTTCCGGAAAAACCCAAGGATTGTTGGATTTTTATATTATGAAATTCTTTGCGACTTCATTTGACCATGCGTCAATTTCTGCTACATAAAACTTCTGACCTAGCTATTGTTAATAGGAATGATGACGAGGTACGAAAATTAAAAATCTATTTAGTCCATCAGTTAGGTAAGAAAAAATATTAGACTCGTATTTTTTATTTTGTCGCATATATTAAAACAATACTTCGACAAAACGAATCAAAGTTTAGGAGTGGGAGCTAAAACGTTATTTCTACGTACCTAGAAGTGACGTTACGCGATATTTCATATCAATATATCGTCGAAAGTATTTGTTTCCATAAGAAAATAAAAAACACGTGTTTAATATTTTAATATAATCTACTAGACAAACATTAAAATAAAAATTAGTCACCTACCTAATTAAATGTATGATGGCTACAACTTCGGTGATCCTTTCAGGGTATAAGGCTGTTCTGTCAAGTTAATGCTACATATTTTCATTAAAGGTTCCGATTCCGATGAGTCGGAGAGTACAGAAGAATATTATTTTGGCACCAGTTCGCGTGGTAACCCTGTACTGGTGCTGTCAGGACATCGATTTAAACTGATGAAGGACAAGGGCAAGCGGAAAAGATGGCTATGTATCAAGACTAGAGAGCGATGCAACTCTTTCGTAGTCACTGAGGACGAGAATATTATTAAAATGAATGTACATCATACACATTGATCAAATTATAATTATTTATTGTAGTAAAATGATATTTTTGTGGTTGTAGATAAGATTGATGTTATTACCTGGTGGTACAATGTACAAAGTCATTTTCTATTAAATTGCATCGAATATTGTTAAGAAATACAAATGTTTATTGTGCGTTTGTTTACAAAAATAAATATTTTTGTAATAATATAATGTATGTTTTATTGTCACTCTACACATTATTTGTAATCTGAACTTTCAGTTATATTCGTGAATGATTGAAGACTTATAAGGAATTCAAACTTTTTTCTATTTTCTAGCACTGACAACGAACCCTCTAATGTTTGGGACCACAAGATTCGGCAACCCTATAATTACTTGGGGCAATTATCGGTTTGTTAGAAAACTGGGTCGTCGCTTTAAGACGTGGTGGGAGTGCACGGGGAGAAAGAGTCATGGGTGCCGATGTGTCGCTGTCACCGTCAATGACAGACTAGTCAAACTCAATGGCTGGCATAACCATTAACTTGGGAACCGTGGCTTCTGAGACAAAGTCTTGAAATGTACCTTTTTGCGGTACGAAAATGTGATGACGCATTAAACGACTTACTTTTACTAGGAATCAGTAATTCAGCAGTTCTATTATGTTTCTGATAATGTCGTCGGCCCATTTAAAAGGTACAGTTTGGAATACATTTCAGTTTATATCAAATCAATAAATTTAAGTGACTAGTGTGATGTAATAAGGTTACGAAACTATCGAATCACTATCCGTGTAGGTGAAGGTAAGGGGGACATTTTATGTTATTGTTTTATAGTTGTATAGTTGTTATATTGTAATATAAAATAGTATATAAAAAGGTTTAGGGTGGTTCAGTTAAACCGTTGTTGTTAATCAGTTATTTGGTTAAATGGACCCTATTTTAATTATGGTTAGTATTTTGCATTGTACTAAAGCTAACTAGTTTTAATTTTTTAATTGACTTAAATTAAACATTGATTGTTACTTACAGTTCAGATTTAATTAGATCTATAAAGTTATTGTTTTATAGCTGGCATTTGTACATAATGCTTAAACTTATTCCTAAAGATAGGAAGAAAATAAAGAATAAACGATTGATTAGGTCATATTTGTACATACGGTAATAAGGAATAAAATATCGTATGAGTGCGTTTTATACGGAGATATATTTATCTGATTTTATTTCACGATTGGTTCCTGAAAGTAAATATAATATGTTTTATATATATCTTACGTTATTTTACGACGTGGATAAAGTGTTGAATTTCTTCTGTTTTCTATTTTATTTTCGTTTTATCTTGATGTTAAATTATTGTTATAATTATGATCTGTATTTTATGTCATGTCATAACACAAGTTTAAGTGTATATTTTAATTAAAATTATTTAGCTAATATGTTTTTATTTTTTTCGAGAACATAACGTTACTAATAATATTGTAATTATCTTCGGTAGTTTAACTGAAAAAATATGGCTTTAAACCCTTTGTGCAATTTAAATTAAGGTAATAATTGTGAAACATTTCAGAACCGAAATTTGATCTGTCTCAACGTGGGAACTTGGTGGTTCAGATAGGGCCGTGGCGATTCAATAAACACGCGTGCTGGGGGTCCAAGGTTCGATGGACTTGTATCAAGAAAAAGAATGGATGTACCGCAGCTATCACTACTGTGGACAACGTCATTGTCAAGACCCTTGGAAAACATAATCATTGAGATAAACAGCTTGACAATGTAATGTCAATGGATGGAATACTCAACTCGGAATACAAGAATAATTCTTACAACTTAAATAATGAAAATAAAAATAATCCTTATCCTTACTTCCTTACTTAATATTATAAATTGGAAAGTGAGTTTGTTTGTTTGTTCTGACTTCACGCTGTAACTACTAAACCGTTTGCATTGAATTTTTGCAGACGTAAAGTTAGTAGTCTGGATTAAATAATAGGGGACTTTTTATCCCAAAAAAATTTGATATTCCCGAGGGAAAACAAAAGTATTGGTATAGATGGCGCTGTATGTATTGGTATATGTCACATAGGCTACTTTTTATCCTTTTGTGACGCGAGCGAAGCTGCGGGTAAAAGCTAGTTAGGTATAAAAGATAACATGATACTTAAAAACCTAAGGGAGGCTAATGATTGGTTGGTTTTGGGTGGCCCTGGTTTTTTGCTACGAGGCGATCTATATAGTATATGATGTGCTCTCTTGACCCTTAGACTATACATAAAAGATTAAGCTTTTCTGACATCATTTTTATTCAGGGAATAGCACACACGGTAAAGCACATGTTGAATTTTCATGAAATATGTTTGTCCCTCTTTAACAAATTGTCGTTTCTAACTAAAGACAGAGACAAATATACATATTTTTTTCAATGCAAGTACTGAATAACGAATAGATTAATTCATTGTTATAGTGTTCGTAAGTAGCGCGTTTGGATGATTTTAGCAAAAGCATTTAATTAGGGATGTGTGTGGTGTTTACTTCCAATAAGGTACAGTAAGTTAATATATATAATTTGAGCAAATGCTGTTATATGGCTTCCTGACAAGTTAAAATAGCTATGTAAAAGTAATAAAGTACTCATATGTATTAACGAGTTTAAACTTTGTTTAATGATTTTTTTTATACATAATGTATGTTTTCAAATCTAGATTTCTAGAACAATTTCATACATACTAATATAGAAAAGTTTGCGTGATGTAGAGTACAATTAATACTGATGTAATTTAGTGTATTAAACATTTAGAGGAAGGACATAATTCCATGTTACAAAGGTTTATATAACTAATAGCAATTATTGTTATATATATTGTATATTTTAGTGTTTTAAATATGAGCTACAAGACGTATACATGTGGTAGTGAAGTTTATAGAATCCATGTTTGTATATGTGTATATTTTATAATAAAATTTGACTAATAATGTTAAAAGCCAATAGAAACTTGACTCAAACTGTGAATTATGTTTTATATTAAATTGTGAATCGACTATATTTTGCTTTGTATGAGCACCTCCTGATATGCCGTGTTATCAATGATATGGCTGGCCAAATCATGATACTCCGACGTTCTAGGAGGTTCACAAACATTTTCTGATGACGGCAGCTGCGGCTTAGACTATAGTTTTAATCTTATAGTAATATATGTACGTCATGCCATTTAGTTGATTTATTAAGGTAGAATAGAAAGCTTATTAGAGCCTCATGGTGTTCCTAAATTACCAAATTTTATTAGCCGTGTGTTAGTTGTTGAAATTAATTATGTAGCTTGTTCAGTACTTTTAAAACAAATATATAATATTTAAAAACGAATACCCTACGTTTATGTAGAGATTAAACCTTTGACCAATGAGGTAGGCTTGCTTCTCTAATCTTTGGTAATTAATTCTAATAACGCCATTTTAATATACGAAATATTTAGAGCCTTACGTTATTTAGAAATCTGCAATATCGTATTAGCTCTGTAAGTACTTATAATTGTTCGATAGACTTTCCATTTTGTCTAATAAAAAATAAAGGTCGTTTTTATACTGTGCTCTTTTATTATTTATAGCAAACTATACATAACACATGTAGTTATAATTACACATAGGTAAGATGATTTCATGGTCAGGTACTAATATGAATGTTTTTTTCAGATCTGAACCCTGTTTTCGCCCAATCACAACGAGGCAATCCAGTCATCATGATCGGTCAGTACCGGTTTAACAGAGTCAATAAATATGGCAGCAGAACAAGATGGGTGTGCGTCAAAGCTAAAGCTGGATGCAGAGCATCTCTTCATACCATGGATAACGCCATCGTCAGAGTATGGGGGTTCCATGACCCGCTTGCACACACCAGCGCAAATAGGTTCTAAATTGTTAAAGAAATCCACATTGTTAGGTGCCCAGAGTTTAAGGCATGTCTCGTTTTTGCAATAAATATGCAATAATTTTAATAGAGCGTAAGGTATTGCATCACTACGTAGATTAGGTGTTTTTTGAATACCGTGTTGGGAACATTCCAGTTTGGGATAATATAACAAATGACAGCTTTGTCACAGTGCAACTATTCGGCTGTTACTTAGGAAAATTTTATCATTATTATGAACTTAATGATAATTTTCACATGTACATTAAAATTCACTTCGACACTGACCAGTTTGTGCAGTTGAAGGTAGTTCTTAACTTAGAAAAGGAATATAATACACGCTTTGATCTCAGATCAAAATCTAATAAAGGTATCGATTCAACTCCTGATATATGGGAGTTTTTATGTTGTACATATAAAGTCGTAACTGGACGAACAAAGTCGAGACATGACTTACCGTTCCCTGAGGTTGCAGAAGCAATACTTATAGTCTAAGATTCGGTTGCAAGATCACTACTTTGATGAAATACATATACTATGTATATGCATACTATGTATGTGAGCATCTCTGTCTCCCATAAACCCCATGGCAGAGACTATGGAAAGCCAATTGCATTTATCAATTTTTTATGCATGCTTGTCGGTTAAGGGTTCTTCGAATTTGTCCCTTCTTTAATACATCGCCAATCTGGTCAATATATCTCCATCTAGGGCGCCCCCTACCGACGGCATCATTCATTTCCGCTCTGTATACATTTTGAGTTACTCTACTTTCATCCATCGTTAAATGTATTCTTTATGTTAATTAACATATATATTTATACATAATGATGCAAATGCAACATTTCAGAATATTTACCTAATATTTGTTCACCTCTCAATTTGTATTCAGCTCGTTTTACTTACATATAGATTTTAGTGATCTTGCAACCAGATTTGATACGTTAATGGATTCAATCAAATAATTATGTGAAAAGGTGCTTCCCAATACATAGATGTTGCTTGTTGCAAAATTTTACATATTGAGGCTTTTAATTTTTGGTGGAAGAAAATATCAAATTAGTTTTGAATACGATGAAATATATTGTAGGCAGTATTTTTATTAAGTTTAGGATGGGTTTAGTAGATAAGTGTTACAACATAGTTTTATGTTGAATTGTAGCATTGACTAACTCGATCAGTATAAGCTCTCGCACTCCAGTTACTAACATAAATATTACTTAGGTTTCGGTGGTGGATAAAATAGACAATCTTTTATTCAGTATTTAATCGTGAGTAATGTTTATCTTCAATAGTTTCTACATAAGATAAGATTACACGTGTATAATTTATGACTTTTTATTCTGTGGTTTTATTGTGGTGTCTCCCATCCTTCACTAGTTGTAAAAGTTGCCGTAGTAACCATTCCGTAAGTAAGTATTCTATACATTATTTTTGACAAATAATTATAGTAATAGATTCAATATTATTATCGATGGTTGATCAAGATTACTATCTTTGTTTATATTTGAAAGTCAATTCATGTTTCTATTACCCAATTGTACAACCCGATTGAATATTTTACAACGTCTCAACTAATATGATTATGTTTCAGTGCAGAAACTGTACACTAGTAGAGGTACAGTGATGCTCCTGGTTGGCAGGTACAAATTCACTAAGGGACCGTCAACTGGGATTAAAACTAGATGGCAGTGTGCGACTAAAACTAGGACTAAATGCAAGGCAACGATAACCACTGTCTACGATACTGTAGCTAGAATTTATTTAGAACACAACCATTGATTGTACCTACCAATGTTTTATCCTAAAAATACATACCAAGTCAATATTCAACACGTTACTTCGTTTTATTACGAGTGAAGAAGCTCGCTAAAGAGCAGCCTTTTAATTTGTTACCAAGTATTGCCACTATAATTTTTTTTATATATATTAATCTGCATACAATGATTTTCAGTTCAATTGGTGTATACTACCAGAGGCACTGAAATGTTTTTAATAGGAGATCATAAATTCTCAAAAGCAGGTACTAAAGGCCCGAAAACTAGATGGCAGTGTTCTCTCAAAACCAGAACCAAATGTAAAGCGATGATTACCACTATCCACAACCAGATTGTTAGGTATAACTATGAACATAATCATATCTAACTTCATTGAGTGTGACGTTGATGCAATATTTTTGATATATTTCATTGTATCGCCGTCATACTCTAGTGTACTTATGTGCTTATATGTTATTTCTTCTGTTTTGTACACTTTGTCGCCTAATATCAATAAACGAAGTGTATTGAACGAAATACTTTTATTATAAAACCACAATTTGGTTTAAAGGTAAAATTAAATAAAGAAAAGTATGCATGTCGTTTGTTTGTAATTTATCTGTAGAACATATTGTACCTATTTGTGTTTTATTTATTTTAGTGGAAAGACTGATAACAGAGCGAGGAGCTACTATCTTAGTTGTGGCCGGCGAACACTTCTACAAGCAGAAAGTGCGAGGTCCGAGAACACGATGGCACTGTTCTAAGAAGACCAGAATGAAATGTAAAGCGGCCATCACGACGGTGGGTGACACCGTCATAAGGACTTATCTGCACCATAGTCACGACGAGTACGGAAACCAGGTGCCACCACCACCTCGTTTGACATTATACAAAAATATACCTTAAGACATTTATAACACGTTAGTTTTTAACCCGCTCTTTATTTCGAAATTAATCTGTACGCAGTACAAACTATTTTCTTTTTCTTATCTTGTGAGGATTTCCTCTCTTTTCTGTTAGGTGCAGTGGCCAGCACATCAACGTAAATTTTTCTCTTTGCATTTTCGACTTTGATAGAGAACAATAGAGTTGGAAATGTAATAAAGAAATTTGGTAGACAAGAGAAGGTTGGCCTGCTGCCCACTGCACAATTATGTACAGTATCTTTCGTCCCGTGTGAATGTGAAGTGTATGAGAAAAAAATGCTACTATGGATGTGTATTGAAAAAAAGAATGAGAAAGGTAAGAAATGAATGAATTTTGGAGAAAACGTGATAGTGATGCGGTTACAGAGGTCAGGAAAACTGTTAATCGTGACTTATGGTGAGCTGGAATCTAAATTATATTACAGAGTATTTTTACAATTTTATTTCTAATACATAGCTTTAAGTATTAATTTTAATTAATATTGTTATTATGAATACAAGGTGGTCAATTGAAGTGAATAAATATTTTGATAGTCGATCTCATAGTTCTCGTTTTAGATAATCAACTAGTCACAAGCGCTTACCTAACTGCAGCCTTATTTTGCTTATATGTCATGATGTATCTTGCTTGCCATGAAACAATTATTACGCTAATCAGCTAATTATAGATGTGATTAGAACTACTTAATGAGCGCAAGGTAATAAAACGATTTATTTACTTAACAATAACATCATTAATTTGGTTATCACATCTTAATACTTTAACTGCCAAGTTTAAAATGGTGAAAGTCAAACCTCCACTAGCGTCAGGCACCGGTGACTGACGTGGCGCTCTAAGGGTTAATTAATTAACGTCAAGTTTCAAAATTCCCATTTTAATGGATACAAGGTACAACATACATTTGGATTCTTCCTATGATGTACTGTGCCCTAACTACTAGTCGTGTGTTAAAATATTCTAACAAATGTTCTTTTATGTTTATAGTGAAAATGATCACATCAAACAGAGGTACGCCGATGCTTGTCGCAAATGGCGTCCGTTTTTACAAGGAGAAGACTTTTGGCTCAAAAACAAGATGGCAATGTGCCTTCAGGAAACGTTACAAATGTAAAGCTTTCATACGAACCATTGATTCGCATGTAGTTAGTACCAACTTTAGACATAATCACGGCCCACCGCCTACACACGCGTACTACTAACTGGTATTATTTTATCAGCCATTTTTACAACAAGCCAGATGTTACCACCTCGGGGTCTTCTTTGCAGACAGAATCGATTTTTTCTGTTTAATTTTTAATATTGTAATGTATTTTTACTCTGTAAATGTGATAATTGTATATTTTTATCTCTATGAACAGCGAATTATATTAGGCATTTGTAAATAGCTTATTTTTAGACATGATTTGAAAGAGCAATCGTAAACGGTTTGGGTTGTCAATTTTATCAATTTGGACTTGTAAATAAATAATTATTTTGATAAGTATGACCTTTAATATTAATTGCCTGTTGTTCTGGACGTAAATATATAACATCTACTAATTACATTCTCGTTGCTTAGTGAATGGTTCGAAGTAGGCAAAATTCCAATTGGTGTTTATGTAAAATAATGAATTGATGTCATTAGTTACTCTTTATGAAATATTGAGGACTTTTTATACACTTTCACATTGTTTCAATTTACTATACCTGATAGATTTCGTACGATTGATTTAACTATTTTTAAAGCATATTTTATAACGATATGCTTACCCTAATTCTAGCCTCCCTATGTGAAAAATAGTAATTTTCCATTTGTTTATTAAATATAGGTATAAACATAGCAGGTGAGTTATAAAAAAATATATATTTTCCTCATTATCTAGAGATTTTTAACATTATCACAATTATTGTTTCAGTTATATTTGTAAAAACAAACAAAGGTAATCTAATGATTATGTCGAATGGTTATCGATTTCACAAGGAGAAGGTTCTGGGATTAAAGACAAGGTACCAGTGTGCTGTACGAAAACGTTTTAAATGTAAAGCCTTCGTTACAATGGCACTTGGACATGTTGTCAAAAGTAACTGGCAACATAACCATAGGTAGATTAAATTGAAGTTTGGCTAAATTTCTTCTCTGTTGTTTCGCTCTTGGCAGAGCGGTCGTGGTCACGTTGAGGCAGCCGTATTTGTGTTGGAGGCCGATACTGCTTTCATCGCCATCTCCCGATTCTCTCCCTGTTTGTGGATTGTCTGGCGCAGTCTTGGTGATGGAGATGGAATTTTAACACATTTAGTATATAGAATAAAAATGTCAACAGGGTACTAATTTGACGATGTTTAAACTATTGCACATTAGAGAGTACTGCAATTACAAGGAAATAATTTTAGTTTTATTTGCGTAAAGTTTCTTTTTTCTTTTCTTATTATAATTAGGATTATTATTGTGTGATATTCTTTAGTTAGTAAGAATTAACATTCCATCAGTAATAATTAATGAGTTTTTTATGTCAAGGGAACCTTAAATTTACCTCAATTTTTGTTTTTATTGGAGAATGTTTAAGATTAATAAGAAACGCTCATGTGAGGCCTTTTGTCTATGTCGCGTCATTTGACAAATGCGTGCATTCTCAACGCGGGCATTAGTGCAGTGACGCAACGTAGACACTAAGGCTTTAATTTATTATTCTTAAGAGTGTTTAAAAACCTGTGCATTATTTATTTACTCTGCTTTATCTTAATCTGCTTGTCTACTGTGAAATCTTGGTTTTTTATTATTATATCTGTGATTTTATTCTAAGATCACTATTGTTGACTGAAAACTTATTAGTCCTTGATTTGAAATACTCGAATTATAAAATGTACAAACAATGAATCTGGTATTTTATTTGCAAGTTTGGTGATAGAAAATGTACCACTGTGGCTGATTGAAAAACTGATAGGTACTACTTATATTTTTGGTACCTTTCAAAAGAACAATGCATTAACATTAACGTTTTCAAAATCTGACTTATTGTTTCATTTACTCGTAAAATTTTCGGCTTCCCTTACTTTCCAAGAAACCTACTTACATACTACTGAATTTCGAAAACTAACTTCTTAAGATAGTTATTAGGTACGAGTGTACGACTGTTTGTCAGGCATTAACTGAATTGTAACAGTTTTGCCTCGACACACGTATTTTCCGCAATGGTTCCAAAGAAAAGCACACTTTACATCGTCATCACCCTTTTAATAACACATATTTTCTTTGTTATTACAGTTACGAGATATACAACCAGCAGAGGAACTGTGATGCTGTTGATCGGAGGTTATCGTTTCTCAAAGGAGAAAACTATGGGCCTGAAGACCAGGTGGCAATGTTCTGTGCGATCCCGAACCAAATGCAAAGCCTTCCTTACTACGGTAGATGACCAGATCATGAGGAGCTGTTTGGATCATAATCATCATTATTCATAGCGATTTTATGGTGATTTGGTGGGTGATGCCACGATTCAGGAGAAAATCCTAGTGTGGGCTACGTTTTTTTTAAAGTAGATAAAATATTCGCAGTATAATTGGCAATAAATGATTTCTTTTTATTAGAGAGAGTTCTTCGGTGTTACATGACAGCATGTCTTCATAACCATTTCAGAACTTTCACATAATCCCACTAGACATACCTTGTCCTTAATGGGGGCTACTGTATTTTTGGCGCTAGTGTGGATCTGTTCTTCTTTGTCCAATAGAATTATCTAGTGTTACATTTTTTTCTTCTCTTCTTTGGCAAACGAGTCTCCAAAACGATCTTGTCGACTATACTGCCAGTGTCCAGTTAGTGTTACATTATTGGACTTTCAATTGTTGACAGGATTGGACAAAAATTCTTCTTACCATATTAGAGCCACCTGGTGAGCAACGACAAACGTAGCCCCACTCCTAGAGGTGGTTTCGTGAAAGATCTGATCGTACTTGTCAGGTTATTGTAATTGCCAGTTATATTGCTATATCTTTAAGGTACTTTTCGTATGTTTAATGATTAATTTCGTATTATTAGTTATAACGTTAAAGCTGTTGTCGCGCAATTAAGAAAGATCATGAATTATAGAATGTTAAGTTTATTTTAAGATATTAATAATATGAAATGTTTGTTTGTTCTGGTTGAGGTTAAAATAGATTTGTAGTATTCTGTTCAGATATGTGTTGTTAGAGACTTTAAAAAGGTTTTATAAATGTCGTTGGGCAATGTGAAAATAAAGACTTGTGATCGACTGTGACTGAATACATATCTATTCACAGCACTATTGGAATTGCTTCTAACTCTATTGTTGCCTTTATCGATTTAACAACGTGATATTTATGAAGGACCACAACTGTAGAACAATCGAGATATTAGATATACATACATACATGTATCTTAATAATAATAAAATAAGACGCTAGAGCTTAGTAACAAATGTTAAAATGTATTTTTTAATATGAAATAGTTTTGTAACTCATAATTTTTGTACATTTGCAATTGTTGGGGGAAATAAAATGTTTTATTACATTTATTATTGTTTCAATGCATGAAAAATGCTAAGATATAATGGTAAAAAAATAGTGGTTTGTTAACCAGACTCATGAGGAAGAACCCCTCTGTGGTTCGAAACTAGTAGAGCTTTTTTCAGTATATTCACGTGAGTAACCCGCGATTTTTAGTTAATTATACTAAATTATGAAAATAGTGGTATGGTAAATTTTTAATATGTAATGTTTTTGGTTTCAGTGATACAAACCAGCAGGGGTACTTGGTACATAATACTGGATGGGTTCCGATTTTCCAAGGACACGATTCGTGGGCATAAGACAAGATGGCGGTGTTCTCTCAGACATCGAACTAATTGCAGAGCGTTTGTTATTACCATGGAAGGCAATTATATTGTCAAATCTAGTCCAGAACATAATCACGAAAGACAGGTCATTTTTCGTGATTGTGTTTTGAGCGACAACACTGTGCTGGCGACCTAACTAGAGAGAAC